TCTCCCCTCCCCTCCGTCCGCGTTGCTTGCAAAGCCAAAGCCTCCCGGACCCATGTCGGCCTTCAACAAGAATGCCTTCTTCGAGGGCGACGATGACGCTGCGCTGGACATGCTCGACGCATTGCTCCCGCCTCCTGCTGGAGCAGCGGCTGGCGAGAATGCCGAGGCTGAGGCGGGTGCTACCGCTCCGCCCGCAGCTGGTGACGACGTCGTTGCTGCAGACAGCCAGACACAGCCGGAGCCAGAGCCAGAGTCGGAGCACGCCGCCAACGGTGGCCAAGGTACCAGCGAGCTCTCGATGGGCCCGTCTGTGGCCAGCACCGAGGACGACCTGGAGGCCATGATGCGCGGCGCACTGGCAGGGCTTTCTGACGACGACGACGACGGCGGCAAGGCGGCAGGCGCGGCTCGCGCTGGCCGCAAGCCGGCGCCCGCACCGCTGGACATTGCGGCGGCTAGCCCTGCGTCTCCGCCGGCACAGACGATTGGAGGTCATCTGGTGCTGGAGGCCAAGGCGCCGAGTGGGTACGTGCCGTCGCCTGTTCCGCAGCCGTCGGGACTCCTCGAGCCATCGGTCAAGTTTGCACCGCCGCCGCCGCTCGACGACGACGACGACCTGATGCTGAGCTCGCCGGTGACACCGGCCTCGTCAGCCACTCCGGTGTTGGGCGGGAACAAGACCGGTTCGGCCATGTTTGCGCCGCCGCCGCCGCTCGACGAAGACGACGACGATGCGTCGACGCTCCTCACCTCTGCGCTCCGCAAAAAGGTGGAGCAGCGGCCGCGGGCGCTCTCGATGGGCCCGCCGCAGGTCTCAGGCTCGGAGCACGCGTACCCGGTGGTGCAGCAGGCGCGGGCGCCGCCGACGGCCGGTGAGTCTGGGCCTGTCTCGTCCGACGAGGACCTCGACGCTGAGCTCGCGGCAATGGAGGCCGAGGCCATGCGGGCGGCCGGACTGGAGCCGTCGGACGGGTCGGTGGCAGATGCTGCGCGGCCGGACGACGACGAGGACGTCGACGACGACGACGAGCTCGACGTGACCGACAGCGCGGTCGAGGAGCGAAGCAAGGACGACCGGATTCGCGAGCTGGAGGCGCAGATCCGCGAGCTCTCGGGCGCGTCACCAGTCGACACGCTGCAAGTCGGAGCGCCAACGGCGGCGGCGTCGCTCGAGGGCGAGCTCGACATGCTGCGGTCGGCCAAAGTCGAGTCGGAAGAAGCGCTCTTTGACCAGATCTCCGAGCTCCAACAGCGCAACTCGCAGCTCGACGCCGACAATATTTCGCTCCGCGACGAGGTCCACGAGCTCAAGCGCGCCCTCCGCGAAGTCACTGAGGAGCGCAACGCCATTGACGAAAAGCTCTCAGTGTACAAAGACATCGAGGAGTCACACAAGCTCGAGCTGGACAAGCACCGCAAGCGCGAGTCGGGCGCCGCCATGGCGCTGCAGCGGCGACTCTCCGAGACCCGCGCCTCGTCGCAGCGCTACGAGCAGAAGCTCAAAAAGTACAAGCGCATCATCGTGCAGATCCAGCAGGACTACGCCGCGCTCGACGCCTACACCTCGTTTGTGGCCGACAAGGCCCGCGTCTTTATTCGCCGCCTTGGCGTCCTCTACGCCCGCTCCAAGGACGCCGTCTCGCTCGCAAAGTCGGTCTACTTTAAGCTCGACTACGTCTCGTTCTCGGAACGCCTGCCCAACGTGCTCGGGGTTATCGAGCAACGCATCAAGAACAAGGCGTGGAAGGAACGCTTCCTTGTCATCAAGGACAACTTTTGGCTGGCGTACAAGGCCAAGTCCGGCAACCCGACCGTGTGCATCCGCCTCGACACCGCCTCGGTCGAGATCGTCGATGAGCCGGGCTTCCGCAACTGCTTCACCATCCGAGGCTCGGACAAGAAGGAGACCATGTGGCGCGCTCAGTCCAAGCAGGAGCTCGACCAGTGGCTTCACGTTCTCTCCAACGCCGCAAAGTTCATGGCTATGAACCTCGAGGGTAAGCCACCGGTCTCGCAGGCCTTTGCCGCTGCCGCTGCCGCGCTTGGCTCGGAGCTCCCGGCCGCCGCCAAGTCCGGTACCGCCGCCTCGCCCGCAGACTCGATGGGTCTCGACGGTCTCGGCACCGCCGCCTCGGTCCAGCCCACCGTCGCCTCCAAGCCCGGTGGCGGCCGCGTCGGCGCCGCCGAGACAAACGTCGCCAACCTCATGACCATCTCGGGCGGCCAGGCCATCCCGGTCTCCAACTACCCGTATCTCCTTGCACTTGATCGCGACGATGGAGCGTCCAAGATTGTTGCTGCCTTGTAGATGATCAACAAAGCTGCTTCCCTTGCGCTACACCTTTCCCGTCCTCCTCCCTTCCCTCCCTCCCCCGGCCTCCTTCTCTGTTTCATTCATAAACTGTTCTTCCAACTAACTTCGTGCACTCTACAGTATCCACTTCTCTTGAAGCCCCCCCCCCCCTATACACACATACACACATACACACATACACACACACACACACACACACACACGCGCGCGCAAACGCCTCTCGCCATGTATGCACCCGTGGCAATCCTCACACTTCTGGTCCTTGTCGCTCTCTCCCTGGCTGACGACTTGCCGTGTACGCTTGTGCCCGACGAAACCGCAACCGATGCAACCTCGCAGCTAGTGGGCTTGGCGACCAACATGCAGCACGCCTACCTTGCGGCGCTGGATGTGGACGAGGACAACGACATCGATCTTATCTCGTCGGTTCCACCGCTCAAGTTGATGCGGAACCAGGGAGACAACACATTTGTAGAGGAGAACGCTGCCGCCGCCATGTCCTTCACCGAGCCGACTGGCTCCGGCATCACCATGGGCCTCGCCGTGGCCGACGCCAACGGTGACTCGCTTGATGACTTTGTCATCGGTTGGCGCGATCGAAACGTCCTTATCATGTACTTTAACATCGGGGGCGGGTCATCGGCATTTACGCCTCACCAACTGGCGTCGGCAAGCCAGGTCGGATTCCCCGAGTTCATCGACTGGGACGGCGACGGCGATCTGGACCTGGTCAGCTTTCTCTGGTCTACCACCGGTCCTGCCCGGGTCTTTATCAACTCGGCCGGCTCATGGCCGACATCGCCGACGTACTCGTTTGGCTCATTTACCGCAGTTCATCCGGGCTCTTACGGTGACTTTGATGGCGACAACGACCTGGACATGGTTGTTGGCAACCAAAAGTGGCGCCGCGACGGCCCGCTCTCTATGACCAACATCGGAACATTACCGGGTGGCCTGATCGGCACCTCATTCAGCTACCAGATCACCACGCCAATCAACTGGAACAGCGACGGGCATGACGACGCAGGAGGCGGCAAGGGCTGTTACATTCTTCTTGGCGACGGTGCATTTGGCTTTACCTCGCAGACGCTTCCTATTCCCGACTGTATTCCGACCCAAGAGCGAATTGTGGTCGACGTTAACAAGGACGGCGCCCATGACATGGTTTACTCGGCCTCAAACCGGCCCGACATCGGCATTTCGCTACTGGTCAACGATGGCAGTGGCAACTTTGCTTCCACGATCATCCGCAAGTCGGATCGCGCGGTCCATACGCCGTTTTTCGTCGACGTCGACGGAGATGGTGATTATGATGTGTTCACTTCGCCGTGGGATAACTCTGACGTCGACTTTGGCAAGCTCTTCTTCCACGAGAACAGCGCACGTCCAGGCGCACACATGCCTGTCTTTCGCTCTCTCTGCGTCGTACCCGGGTGCACAACCGTTGATGGGTGCGTGAGCAATGTCATCAGGATTGCCCAGATCCACGGCGCTAGCGATGTCGAGCTCGCAGCAGGCGTCAACTACACCCAGTGTCCGGTCACGCCCATCACCATCACCAACTCGGCGCTTCGCATCCGGCCCAGAGGATGGTCGAGCCGGACGAGCATCAGGTGTGGCCATGCCGGTGTTCTTTTCCGGGTTGAGCACGGTGCCAAAGCGGCTGTTGAGCGACTTGACATATTTGACACTTCGACTTCGTTTACGGTTGATCCGCAGCCGGCCATCCTGGTCACCGGCACCGCTTCCAAGCTGACACTCTCCAACGTGACCGTGACGAGCGCCGATGCGACCCGTGACGCCGCAGGCCTCACACTCATTGCATCCATTGTCGATGGCGGGTTTCTCGTGGCGGAAAACTCGGGGTCGCTCGTGGTGGAGAGCTCGGACTTTGTGGGGTGCTCGGCCTCGGGGTCGGGAGGAGCGATGGCGCTCAAAAAGACCGGCCTGGTGAGCGTGACCAAGACCTCATTTGTGGGCAACAGCGCAGTCGGAGGTGCTGGCGGCGCGGTGGTGGTTGTGCTCTCGGATGCGGTGATGGGTGATACGCCGCTCGTGTCTATCAGCAACTCGGTGTTTGCTCGCAACGAGGCGCGATACGGCGGCGTTGCGGCGGTCATCCTCGGACCGACCATTTTGCCGACTCTCGAGGACCACACCTTTCTCCCATGGCAGCCCAATCAAGCGGCAGCGCTTGCGAAGGCGTCCAACCTCACGGTCTCGTTTGCCGACGTGATGTTGGCCGACAACGTCGCTAGCTTTGGCGACGTGCTCTATGATTGCTCAGCACCTGTGTCGCTTGGCCCGTTGGCTCAAGGCTCGGCCCAGGCACCCCGGGGGGGACCGTGCCTGGTGCGTCGTCGGTGTTTGTTTGCAACCCGAGCGACGCGGCGACGCAAGCGTATAGCTCGGTGCCGTGGGTCACGAGCGTCGGCCCCGAGGCAGGCGCGCTGGTGGCTGCGGCGGCGTCGCCGGCGGTCACCATCAAGCGGGTAGACGCTCCTGCAAACGAGCCGGTCCTTGTGATGCCTGGCGAGGAGCTAGGTGGTGTCTCGTTTGGCGCCGATGATGTCTTTGGTTCGCCGACCACTGCGGGGCTGGTCGGCCTGCTCCCAGCACCTGGCTCGGGCGACGACGTGTTTATGTACGTATCTAATGTGCTCCGCGCGCTGTCGGCGAGCGAGACGGTGGTTGACTTTTCACGCGAGCGGCTGGCCGCTTCCCATGCAGGCGTTGTCGGCTCGACGGTATACATGAGTGCTGGTTTGGCTGTGGCTGGCGCTGAGGTCGTGTTCATCCCGCGGCCATCGCTGGTCGTTCAGTTCCCGCTGCAGTTTGTGGCGTGCGGGCCCGGATGGGGCGCGTCGTCGACGACGCCATTTGCTTGCAGCCCGTGCGCGTCCGGCCTCTTTGCGCCCGACACGTCGATGGAGGCTTGCAGGCCGCTCGACGACTGCCTGCCCAACTCGAAGCGGACACAGTCCGACTCATCAGAGTGCACGTGTAACGCCGGGTATTGGGCGCCGGCGCTAGCACCCGACACGCCGTGTGTAGTTTGCCCAGTCGGCGGGATTTGCGTCGGGTCGTCGACCGAGATACCAACTGCAGCGGTGGGTTACTTCAACGTGGCAAACTCGACAGGCTCGGGTGCGCTGGCGGAGATGGCCAAGTGCCCACGGCCGCAGTCGTGCGCCGGTGGCTCCAAGTGTGTCACAGGCTCAGAGGGCTTTATGTGCCGGGCGTGCTCAGACGGCTTTTACACCGACGAGGACACCGTGTGTCGAAAGTGCCCGAACGCGGCAGGAGCCATGTTCTATGCCTTTGTCTCTGTCCTTGGCGCGGCGGTCGTTTTGGCAACGGCGGTAGTGATGTGGGCAGCGTACGGACGGGGCGGCGGGTCATCTTCGGTCTGGCGAGTGCCGCACGCAGTCAAGTCGGGCATTCTGTTCTTCCAGATCCTGGCGGTCATCGGCGGCGCCGAGCTCAACTGGCCGTCGCCGCTCAGCTACATCCTGGCGGTCTTCTCGGCGTTCAACCTCTCGCTCGCGCTGTTTGCCTCCGAGTGCGTACTGGTCGACTTTGCCACCATGTACAAGTTTACGGCGCTCATTCCGATGGGTATGTTCTTGCTTGTCATGGCGGTGGCGGCGTTGTTCAAGTTTGGGCTTCGATTGCGGCGCGTGGCACTGCCGCGCGTGGCCGAGCGAGTGCTCTGCATCCTCGGCCCGATGCTTTATATTGCGGCAGCGCATGCATCACTCGTGCTCTTTGACTGCACCAAGTTGCCAAACGGCACTTTTGTGCTCGACGCGGACATGGGCGTCGTGTGCTTCGAGTCGGAGTGGATCGAGCTGCTGCCGTATGGCCTCTTTGCGGTTGTCGTGTACGTCATTGGCCTGCCCGCAATCCTATTCACGCTCCTTTGCCGGGCACGACACTCGCTGCAGACATCCGAGGTGCGCTCCCGACTCGGAGTGCTCTTTCTCAACTTCCAGCCGCAGTTCTACCTCTTTGAGGTTCTGCTCCTCCTCAAGCGGCTCGCGGTAGTGGCGACGGCCATGTTTTTCTCAGACCTCCACGTCTGGCTCCTCACCATCTTTATGGTTGTTTTTGCAGTTTTTGCAGGCATCCAGCTCAAATACGAACCGTACAAACTGCAGATGTACAACGACATCGAGATGCAACTCAACCTCGTCATCTGCGCGCTGATCATGCTCGGCACGCTCTTCTGGGCCGACAACTTTCCAAACCACACCTCGCTTGTCCTTTTTGCGGTCATCGGCTGCGCTGCAGTCTTCCTAGCCGTTCTCCTCCTCGTCCGGCTCTTTTCCGTGAGCTTGCGTTCCGGCTCGGCATGACCGCGCAAGTCGACGTCTGCAACGAGCCCGAGGCCAAGGAACACGGCTCACCCTCGCTCGGCACCTCCGGCACAAGCTCCGGATCGGGCTTGGCACTGCTCACCCCGCAGCCGGTGGAGTTGAGCTATAGTTCTACCAGCTGCGCAAGCGACTTGTCTCCATAGCATGGAAAACGATGATGAAATGTACAAAGTAGGTGCTGGCTGCAGCGACAACGGTAGCAGAGGCTCCAGAGAGACAGCTCGCTTGCCTCGTCGTCAGCCATTTCGGCATCGCCTGTTTTTCGCTCAACGGCACTTTTCTTGTCACAAAACCCATCCACAAAGCTATGCTGCGTTCAGTCACGACGACGGCGACGAGCCTGACGAGCCTGCCTGCGGTGCTGCGGGCATGCACTTCTGCGCTGCGCGGGTTCTCCTCAAGCGCGTGTGTGAGCGCTGGAGCGTTCAAGCCTTTCCTCCGCGAGGGCGTCTCGTCGGGGGCGACGGCGGTGGAGGCAGCCCGGGCCGAGTCGCTGGCCGGAGGTGGCGAGAAGCGGGTCGCGGCGCAGCACGGCAAGGGCAAGCTGACGGCGCGCGAGCGGCTGGACGTTCTCCTCGACGAGGGCTCGTTCCGCGAGATGGATCCGTTTGTCACCCACCGGTGCTCTGACTTTGGCATGGAGGCGTCCAAGGTGCCGGGCGACGGCGTGGTCACCGGCCAGGGCACCATTAACGGGCGCCTCGCCTTTGTCTTCTCGCAGGACTTTACCGTCATGGGCGGCTCGCTCTCCGAGACCCACGCCGAGAAGATCTGCAAGCTGATGGACAACGCCATGAAGGTCGGTGTGCCTGTCATTGGCCTCAACGACTCGGGTGGCGCCCGCATCCAGGAGGGTGTTGCCTCGCTCGCCGGCTACGCCGAGGTCTTCCAGCGCAACGTCGATGCCTCGGGCGTCGTCCCGCAGATCTCTATGATCATGGGTCCGTGCGCAGGTGGTGCCGTCTACTCGCCGGCGCTCACCGACTTTACCTTTATGGTCCGCGACACGTCGTACATGTTTGTCACCGGGCCCGAGGTGGTCAAGACGGTGACCCACGAGGAGGTGACCCAGGAAGAGCTTGGCGGCGCCAAGACCCACGCCACCAAGTCGGGCGTTGCCCACCTCACCTTTGAGGACGACATCGAGGCCCTGCTCAAGCTCCGCGAGTTCTACGACTTCCTCCCGCTTTCCAACACTGCCGAGCCGCCGCAGCGCGACTTTTCCGACCCGCGCACCCGTCGCTCCGAGCAGCTCAACTCGATTGTGCCGGCCGACCCCAACTCGCCGTACGACATCAAGTCGGTCATCACCGAGCTCGTCGACGACGGCGAGTTCTTTGAGATCATGCCCGACTTTGCCAAGAACATCGTCATCGGCTTTGGCCGCATGGAGGGCAAGACCGTCTCGTTTGTGGCGAACCAGCCCAAGGAGCTTGCTGGTTGCCTCGACATCGACGCCTCGGTCAAGGCTGCCCGCTGGATCCGCTTCTGCGACGCCTTCAACATCCCCATCGCTACCCTTGTCGACGTCCCCGGCTTCCTCCCGGGCGTCGGCCAGGAGCACAACGGCATCATCCGCAACGGCGCCAAGCTGCTGCACGCCTACGCCGAGGCCTCCGTCCCCAAGGTCACCGTCATCACTCGCAAGGCCTATGGCGGCGCCTACACCACCCTGGCCCCGCGCATGCTCCGTGCCGACCGTGTCTACGGATGGCCCACCTCCGAGGTCGCCGTCATGGGCGCCAAGGGCGCCGTCGGCATCATCTTCCGCGGCGACTCGGACATTGCCGCCCGTGAGGCCGAGTACGAGGAGAAGTTCCTCAACCCGCTCCCGGCTGCTCGCCGCGGCTTCCTTGACGACGTCATCGAGCCGGCCGCCACCCGTGCCATCATTTGCGAGGACCTCGAGGTCCTGGCCACCAAGGTCGAGGAGGGTCCCGCCAAGAAGCACAGCAACGGCCCGCTGTAGGCGCCCTGTCGTCCTTCCCCCCCCCCCCCCCCCCCCCCCCACACACGCCCCTCCTACCTCCAACCCCGTCCCCGCCCACCCGTGTGCACATGTCACAGTGAACAACGGCAGCGTTTGCAGTCCATCAATCTGATCTGATCTTGATTCCGATCCCAACCTCCTTCCTTCCCCACCCCAGACCGGAGTCAAACCACTCAACTCCATCGCCGTCCCTGCCCGACACTTGAGCCGAGGGCGAGCCGATGGAGTCCACCGATCACACCGATGACACCCATGCAGAACCACCTGCATCCGCCACCGCCACCAGTAGCAGTAAGTATCCAAACACCATGCATTCCCGCACCCATCGATTGGCTTGGATGAGGGGAGGGTGGGGGAGGGGGGGGGAGGGGGGGGAGGAGCAGGAGAGGAAGAGCGTGGGCGAGGGGGTGGGATCCCTCCCTGTCTTCCTTGCCTGTCACTCACTCACAGGTGCGGCATATGCGGTGTGGGCGGGGACGGGGACGGGGACGGGGACGGGGGTGGGGTGGTGGTGGTGGTGGTGGTGGTGATGGTGGGTGTCGTCGTCGTCATCGTCGTCCTGTCTTGGCTGTGTGTGGGCTCTCTGTGGGTGCGGCTGTGGACAGCGGGCGTGGCGGCTTCGACCGAGGGGGCGGCGGCAGCGACAGCGGCGGCGGCGGCGGTGGCGGGTGGCGGGGACAGTGGTGGCGAGGCAGGGAATACGAGCATGCCGACGGTGGCGGAGATGGTGGAGGAGGAGCGCGGGCGGAGGCGGAGGCGGGGGAAAGTCGTGGTGTACAACGAGGAGGCACTGCTCAAGTCGCAGTGGCGCGACTCGGAGAAGATGAAGAAGGCCATGAAGGTGGAGGAGATCGAGGCCAAGAAGGTCCGCAGGGCACACGCCCGCCGTCGTGCCGCCGAGAAGAAGAAAAAGGCCGCAGAGCGGAGGCGCAAGGCAAAGGCTGCTGCTGCTGCTCGGCGGAAGAAGAAGGCCGCAGAGGCGGCCGCGGCCGCTGCTGCCGCTGCTGCTGCCGCTGCTGCCATGGACCCCGGCGATGCCGCTACGCTGCAAGACTCAGTCGGCAGTACGGTGGGCGGGCAGAAAGTCGATGCTGGGAGCGGGGCTCAGGCTTCCGCAGCGGGGATGGGTGCCGGTAGTAGTGGCGCAGCGAGCGTCAGCGCGAGTGCGAGCGCGGCGTCGACGCCGGCGGCTACGCCGAGTAGGGACAGCCGCAATGCGCGGCACCCGCGGCATCCGCAGCATGGATACGTCATCTACGACGACTACGGCCTGCCGATTGTGGTTGATCAACTGCCGAAGCGCGTCCGCAAGCGAGCGCCGGCGGCGGTAACGTCGGCGCAGGCTGCGGCTCAGAACAGGCCAATGGTTGCCCGTAAGCTCCTCGACGTTCCGTCACCGCCGACAACACCCGGTCGGCGGGCAGGGCTTGCTCGCCCAGACCGCAATTCGCCGCGACTCTCTGCCAAGGCATCGGGCTCGGCGCCACCTTCGGCGTCTAAGGGTAAGGGCAAGAGCAAGGGCAAGAGCAAGGGCAAGGGCAAGGCGAGTGTGGCTTTGGGCGCCAACGGGTCGGGCGGACCTCCGATGAAGGATGTACTGCGACGGTTCAAGCGGTGGACCAAGACGTACTTGACAAACGCGGTCGACGTCCTGCCGCAAACCGCCATGCCAAGTACCGTCATTGTCGGCGAGAACGCTGTTGTCCGCCACGGGTCGAGCGTCTTCCTCGACCGGATCACCGCGTACAACGAGGCTGAGCTCAAGGACGATCCGGTGGCGCTCGCGCTTGACAAAGCGCTCAGCTGCTTCTCGGAAGACAACCCTCTGACGACGCTTCCCGGCTTCTCGCCACGCTCGCTCTGGTACCCGTCACTCTCCGAGGTCCTCGACGCTGCTTTTGGCGGCTCGGTCGAGCAGATGGCGCGATCGCTGAGCGCGGTCGACGCGTCAACCCGGGCTCACCAGGCTGCGCTCCGTAAGGGGCTTATTCGCCCGCGCACTCTGACTGCCACGGTGTCCGCGCCTCGTAGTTCCGCTCCTGAACAAGCTCTGGCACCGATGGACGTCGTCACCGCCCCACCGCAGCGCTCCCAGCCCCCGCCGGTTTCGACCCGGACCCGTGCCGTTCAAACTGAGATCACCCACGTCCAGAGCAAGACTGCCCGCCGCTGGGACGACGTCCAGCGGGTCTCGAGTGAGCTTGACGCCGGCATCATCCCCAAGAATGTCTACGCCGATCAGCTCAATCCCAAGCGCACCTTTGAGCACTTTATCTCCCGATCGCCGACCAAGACCGCAACCCGTCCCACGGCACCGCTCGCTACCATCGCTGCTACAGTCGCCACTGCTGCTCCTGCTGCTGGTGAGCCGAAGGACAGCTCTGTCAACACTCTCACGAGCGCGATGAATCCTGCTCCGAGCGATGCACTTCGCAATCCGGCTGCACTCAGCACTGGCAAGCGCGGGCGCGACGAGGCGGACGAGGCCACTGGCACCGCAGCTGGTCACGGGCCCGGGCCCGTGCCCAAGAAGGCCAAGCCGATGGAAGGGCCGCAGCTCAAGCTGAGCGCACCCATGGCCGCGCCCGCACCTGGACCTGTGGCGGAGACGCCGGCGCCATCGATGACGGTGGCCGAGATGGTGGCGGCGGCTACAGCAGCGGCAACAACCGCGGCAGCGGTGTTGGGCACAGGAGGACCCGCAGGCCGCTCCACCGTATCTGCAACACCAGCTGGAGCGGCGGTACCGCCGCGAGCGTGCATTGCTTCGACTGCCAGTGTCTCTTCAGCGCCGCCGCTGGCTGCCGAATCCCGGCCACCGCCACCGCCGCCGCCACCGCCTCCGTCGCTGCCGCTGCCACCCCCGCCACCATCTGTCCCTACCGGGGTTGAAGCGGCGATGGCGAATGAGGACGGCGGGCCGAAAATGATGCTCAAAGGCGAGGAGCGGTGGACGAGCGGGACTTACGTCAATTGCGATGTGCGCTACTTTAATCTCAAGTGCCTCGGCAAGTTTGACATGGTGTACATCGACCCGCCGTGGCGGATCCGCGGCAACCAGGTGATGCCGGAGGACGGGCACATCTTCTCCAACTCGCAGCGGCGACGTAACTACGACACGCTCTCGAACACCGACATCTACGACCTTGAGATTGGCGAGCTGGTCGACACCGGGCTCATTTTCATGTGGACGGTCACGTCGCAGCTCAAGGTGGCGCTGCAGTGTCTCGAGCACTGGGGCTTTGACTTTATCGACAAGATCACCTGGGTCCGGCTCACCCACCGCGATAACGTGGCCATGGGCCTTGGCTACTACTTTCTGCACTCGTCAGAAATCTGTCTGGTCGGCGCCAAGTCGCGGCCAGGTGCGCGTCTGGAGATCATTCCCAAGATCTCGAACGATCTTTTGTTTGCTCGGGTGGGCAAGCCATCCGAAAAGCCGGTCGAGATGTACGACATCATGGAGCGGATGATGCCCGGCGGGCGCAAGATCGAGATTTTTGCCCGAAACAACAACCTGCGGCGTGGGTGGCTCTCGGTGGGCAACCTGCTCGGGCCCAACTTTGAGTACGTCAAGGATCGGGTGATGTGTGACGAATGTGCGGCCGGCATCCCCATCGGAACGCGGCGGTTCAAGTCGCGGAGCGTGCCGAACCGTGACGTGTGTGCCGAGTGCTTTGCCGGCACCGGCGAGCCAGCACACAACTACTTTGAGCTCGAGCACGCCATCGCGGTCATGGTCTTCCACAACAACTACACCTGTGATATGTGTGGGATGAACCCGATCTGCGGTATCCGCTTTTCATGCTCGCGCTGCGAGTACGACCTCTGCGAAGGCTGCTTCGATTTTTCTGTCACCACCTGGGCGGCGGCTGCCGGCGCGGCGTCGCCGTCGGCGGCAGAGCCGTCGATCTTCCACACTCCCGACAAAAAGTCGACTCGTGTGAGGTCGGCCACCCACGATCCGGCGCATGCCTTTCTCGCCTACGAGGACATGGACGACTCGGGCGGCCTGCCCAAGCACCATGCGCGCTGCACCTCGTGCTTTGACTTTCCATTGTCGGCTACCGGTTCTTCTGCGTCGACTGCAAACGGGTCTCGCTCTGCCAAAAGTGCTTCTTCCGCCGTAAGGAACCCGGTCGCCACCTCGCGTCGCACGAGATGCGGTTGCTCGACCGGCCGCGCGAGTCGTGCATCTGTCCGCGCTGCGTCATCGATGTCCACGCCACCGAGCGCGCCCTCGTCCGCGAGCTGCCGTCGGTCCGGGTTGCCGATCGCGCGCTTGTCCTCGCCCAGCGTGCGGCATCGGCCGCTGCCGCCGACGAGATAATTCATGATGCGGTGAGCGATGTCGCGCAAGGCGTCGCGGCCGACGCCGTAGCCGACGCTGTTGCCGAGACGATGATCGACGACGCAGCGGCGGCCGTAGCGGCCGAGTCGATGGCCGGGTAGCAGAGAGCACACGGTTCTCACTGAATAAGCTCGCTTGTTTAGCTTGTGCTAGTGGGCATGGGCGGCACGGTTGTGCTCGATGCGGCGGCGGACCTCCTGGTGGCCGATCCCGCGGGCGACGCGGCCGAGGCCGTTGAGCGCTGCAACGCGGAAGGCCTCAGAGTAACTCGGGTAGTTGAAGACTTGGGTGAGGAAGAGATCGATGGTGCCGTTGAGAGCCATGGCGGTTTGTGCGACGTGAATGATTTCCGTGGCACCCTCGCCGATGGCGGATGCGCCGAGAAGGCGGAAGGTGTGCGGGCAGAAGAGGAGCTTCAGCAGGCCGTACGAGCCGCCGATCATGGCAGACTTTGCCAGCTCGGCGTAGGAGGCGAGGCCGACCTCGACCGGAATCTGGGCGGCGGTGAGCTCGCGCTCGGACATGCCGATGAAGGAAAGCTCGGGCACGGTGTAAATGCCGTAAGGGAAGTCACCCTGGGTCTCGACGCGGTCGGTGATGTCGTCGAACATGTAGTCTGCAACGAGGCGGCCCTGCTGGCCCGAGACCGAGGCGAGGGCAGGGAAGCCGATGCAGTCGCCGGCAGCGTAGACGTGGCCGACCGAGGTCATGAACTTGTCGTCGACAGAGATGAGGCCGCGCTTGTCGGTCTCCAGTCCGATAGCGGAGAGGTTGAGCGAGTCGGTGTTGGCCTGCCGGCCGACGGCATACAGCAGGGCGTCGCCAAAGAGGACCTTGCCCGACGCTAGCTCGACGGTGACAGTCTCGCGGCCGTCAGAGCGGACGGTGACGTCGCAGGATGAGACAGTCTCGCCGAGCAGGAACCGGGCGCCTTGCTGGCGCATGAGGTGGCAGAGCGCCTCGACCATTTCGGTGTCGGCAAACGGCAGGATCTGGGTCGGCCGCTGATCGACGACGTAGACGCGTGAGCCCGGGATGATGTTCATCATGGACGCGTACTCCATGCCGATCACTCCGGCGCCGACTACAATGAGCGTCCGCGGAATGACCCAGTCGTCGATGAGCATCTCGTCCGAGTCAAATACCTGCTTGGCCTCAAACGGGATGTGGCCCGGGCGCGCCGGGCGGGTGCCGACCGAGAGCAGGAACTTGTCGGCGGTCACGCGCCGCTTCTCGTCTGACGTCACCGAGAAGCCCTCCATGGCGTTGAGCCGCGCCCGCCGATCGGGCAGGTGCGACCACGGCTTGCCGATGGCCACAGTGTTCGAGTCGACAAACGAGGCGTGGCCCGGAATGATGTCGATGTGGTTGCGGAGGAGCTGGCTTGACACAATGGCGTGCTCCTTGTCGATCACCGCCTTGACCCGGTTGACAATGTCCTTGACCGTCACCGTCTTGCGCGCCAGCGACGATCCGGTGTAGAACGACTGGTTGCGGTACCCGGTGAGGTGCAGGATGGCCTCACGGAAGGTCTTGGACGGGATGGTGCCAGTGTGGACACACACACCGCCGATGTCCGCCTCGGCATCAACCACAGCCACGCGCTTGCCCTTTTTCGCAGCCGCAATAGCACACTTTTGCCCCGCCGGCCCTATATATCCCCCAGCCACCACCGCCCCATGCTCTTTGGTGAGTCGTCCTCCCGCGTCTTTGCCTACCGACCGAACAAGAGCCGCTGTCCGGGCGTGCCCCCCCCCCCCCCCTTCGCGCATTGGAGTGGGGAGGAGGGGAGGGACCGT